ATATATCAATCACACGTGCGTGCGCAAAAGCAAACGAAACAAACGTGGACGCAAAATGATACATTCTACACTCCCCCTTTTGTGTCCTTCGTATACACGCGTCAGTTTCTGACAAAATTGCAAGCAAAACTGTTAATAATTATCTATACAAATATGTACAAGAAAAGAAAAAAGCGACGTGGCCTGTACAAACACTAAGCTCCTATCAGCATTGACGATGCTTAATTTGAACTGTTCTTATTTCAGATGGCATTTCCTCTATTACAGTAGCTCCTCCTTAGCTGGACTTTTCTACCTCTGGGATGTAAGTATATATGCGTTTTGTTTTGTTTTGTTGAAATAGAAGGACACACAACACTGAAACTACATAATTTCTGAGTCCAAACTGACAGCTGGTGCACCTCGAACAGAGTGCCGGGACGAGAAGTAACAAAAAATATATATTCTATTTTCGTCCACCTGTTTTAAACGACACAGATTTCTTCAGTTGTACTATGAATACACTGCATATCAATACGAACGAGATACGCAACGATTAATTGAAGAGCCGCGATACTGTACACACAGAATTCTCGATTCTGCTGAAAGAGAAAGAACTTTTCAAGTTAAAGCATACTTTAAAAAAAATCTGATTACTTCCCTTGTAATGATGTGGCTCGAAAAATGTGACAACAATGGCAGCAACCTGTGTGAAAGGCGTCGCCTGCCTTGGAATTTTAACAAGGGAGACCGCTAATGTCTAGTTATGTTCCCTTTTTTCATATCCGTTCCTTTGTTTTCTCTTCATTCGTTTTCCTTACTTTAAATACAGCTTGCTGTTTAACCAGTACACGTACTTACATTTTTATAAGTTAGAATCAAGTGGACAGTAACACAAAGAACAATTCCCGATTTCGTGAGCTACTTTCCACTCTCACTTCCTGAAGTTTTACTTTCCTTAGGAGTTTTACGTACGTAGGACTTTTCGGGCTTTTAAGTTGAGAAAACCACTAGCCTTTTACACTGCTGAAATTGAAATAAATAATATTGAGATATAGTTGAGCGGGCTCTAATTGCCACTTGTATTAGACAATTACCTATACAAACACCCACAACCCATTCCCTGCCTTACATATTTTTAAAATCTAGTAATGACACAGTGTAAAACATTCACCTGTCTAAGACAGCCATCGTTCTCCTCGACAATGGATGACCGGCTTAGACAGTTTCGACTCAGACAGTTTCGACTGTATTAGAAACCACGGACAAAAATAGATCTTGTAAGGGTGCACCTAAAAATATATAACAGCACGGCGCATCTCATGCTTAGATTAAAAACACAAAGACAGACCTACAAAGTTAAAAAAAGAAAGAAAAAAAAAATCTTAAATCAACAGGCGCAATTATTTGTGAGTGGCACCTTGGTGAAATCAGGCGCTCGTCAAAATAATGAATTTAATCAAAGAAACCGACATTTTCCTCCTGTTGGGCATTTTGTTTTGTTTTGTTTTTTGGGGATTTATTGTTTCTCAACATCTTTATGTGCATTTAAAATCACATTTGTGTGTAAAGTTCACTTCAAGACGTTGACCAAAAGCACCCACAAAAAAAAAGACGTAAATTTGCAGTTTTCAAAGACTCCTAGTTTAAGAAGTGACCAAACTCAAGCAACCATTTATTTCTCCATAATTTTTCTTTTCTCCGACACCATGCAAACGACCCCCATCTCCTTCAGTCTCAACTATCTGTACTTCTATTCAAGATTGATGGATATTTTTATTTTCTATAAAAAGCAAGACAATGAACAAGCTTTAGCCTACGATGATATGAATAACTTCATATATGCCCAAAAATTAACGAGCGATCGATACTAAAGATGCGCTCCTCATAGAAAAGTAAGGTGGTGTTTTTGGCGGGGATTTTTGGGGTGCGGGTGGAGAAAGAAGAAGTGAAAATGATAAACTGTGGAACGAAAAGAAGGGGTAAAGAAGAGGAGCAATTGTAGTGGGGTGTGTGTGTGTGTGTGTGTG